CCTCTCTTCAGAAATACCCCGTGGCCCCCAAGTTTAACAGGAAGGACCCTCTCGCGCCCCAATCTCGACACCTAGGGCATAGTGATAGCCCCCGTGGACGCCAGGCGGTCTTCAGTACGCCTTATATATGCAGGTAGTTTTTCGACTCGACAGCGTTCCTTGAGCTGTCGTAGGGTTACAGGTTCGTCATAGGAAGATATCCTAGAAACCAGTTCCACCGTCAACTGTCCCTTTAGAGAGAGGCCGGACTTCGAAGTCTCAGGAATCTCTGAATGCCACTGGCAAAGTTCATCCGAGAAGCCTACGAATTATAAACAATTTAGGAGACGGTCATATCGAGTGACCGTATGTGTGTTATGTTAATGCGATGCATAGTAATAGTTCCCATGAATTCACTCTGTATCAACTTGGACTGCGGTTTTTTGCCACAACTACTTTGTTACGATATTTAAGGAACGTGCTGTACTCTCACTCTCTGTTCTCTACACTTTATGGATGAAGAAGCTTAGTCAGATCCCTGGTAGCCGCCTTTTTGATTTGATCGAGAATAAATCAAAGAACTTGGTTATGTGGTGCGTGCAAAGATTTAAAACAAAAATTTTATCCTCTTCTCTTTCTCACAGGATTCCCGTTTGATGAGATTCGTTTGAACGTTTGTTCAGCACCGCTGTCGTTGCCCTGGTGATCTTATTTGATTTATGCAGTCACTGCCCTACCGCTCCTCCTCTTAGTAATTCCGAATTGGAGTGAAGATGCTTGGGCGTTTTTCCTATCGGATGTTTTTGACGCATGTGTCCGAAATCCTTCCCGTCACACAGATATATGTCGTCAAAGGATAAAAAGTGGTGTTCAAAACTTGTTTTTGAGATGTGGGCGGATGTGGTGTTGTGGCAAGTGGCACACCTCACACTCGTAGTCACGGCTTCGAATCCCAGATCGATATCATCTGGGCCAACTAAGCCTTCCATCTTTCTAAGGTCGGCCAGTTGGTATCACTCGTCTGGGAGGATAGAAGCACTGACCTGTACATCGGCTAGCCACCGTAAGTCATTGTATAGGCCGCATAAGCATTCAATACGCCACTACGATTCTAAATGCAAGTCAAATGCGGGCGCATCACTCAGATGGGATGGATAGACGCCCTGAGACTTTATCCTTCTATTTTGGAGATGTATATTACATTCTATCAATTTCCCGGAGAACGATCCTCGTGTCCCCTTGCAAGTAATGGTTCGAACAAACCCTGCTTGACTCAATAAAGTAAACGGCGGCGAGCAAGCGAACGAGCGGAGATCAAAGCTCGGTGATTTCTGCCGTAGTCACAAGACGCGCGGAACCCAACCTCAAAACTTCTGTAAGCTCCCCATTGGGCTAAGATGTTTCACCACAGCGACATGGCATTTCATCATTTCTGACGTTTCCTTTGCCGTTGAAAGTATTTTCATGATCCTTAGAAGGATCAAGGACCACAATGATGCATGATTACTGAAAGGATCATAATTGAGTTCATGTCAATGATAAAAATTAGTAGAAACTGTCTAAAGTCAAGATTATATCGGTTGTAAAGTGCGATCATAAGTAGATTTCCTCCGTGAGGTTCGATGGACACAATGACAATTCATCGACCGTTTGAGTTCGATTCATTTGAGTTACTTTTCTCAGAGTTCCTTTCTTCTCACTGAGGTGGACCGCAAAAATCTCCCAACCGTCGAAAGAATTTCCTCGAACTTCACTTCAAGCCCATATTTCGTTAGAAATTGGCGAGAAGTGTGAAGCATCGAGTGCATCGCTGAGACATAAATGACCCGAGAAAGGGATTTTGAATCTATTTACAGCTACCAGCAACTGATTTCCACGGACCAACCTGTTTGGCTTGATGAAAACACGAATTTCCATCTAGGTTGACCTAGTCAAGTCATAATGTAATGAGCACAATAATCTTTGTTCCCGAGACTAATCAAGCTCGCCTCACCACGAATTATGAGGTAACGCTAATTAAGCGAAAAATTAACTGTTATTCAAGGTATTCTGTACAAATCTGCTTTCCACAGAAACCTCGCCTCATGGGAGGAGTCGAGGTGGTAGTTAAAGAACAAGCTCCATTGCAAAGTGGTCGCCGCCCATCGCCCAAAGGCTCTCCAGGTGATATCTCACACGCTCGATCCACGTCCGCTAATAAACAAATAAATAAGACAAGGCATTTCAGAAGGTTCGTGTTGATATGGAACATACATATGTACACTAAAAAACGATTTTTCCCCTCCCATGAAGCCCATTTCTTCTTCTCTTGACGTATCTTTCTGAACGCATGTTGATCCCCTCCCCACTTCTCGAAACATTTTACCTAATCGCAGAAAAAGTTCTTCTAACGTAGATGCTTCTGTTACTATATACAGTGTGTCCCAAAATTATTGGCGCCGAGTTATAGCAAAATATTTCAAACTTCTCAGCTGCGAAAGACGATGGAATCTCTATGCACGTTAGCCAACACTACGTGCTACAACATCAGTCGCCTTTAGTAATATCCTCCATGAGCACGGATAGAAGTCAAAGTTTGCTTTTGACTTGATCGCATGTGGCACGCAAGTATCCTTCTCCATTTCTTCCCAGCCGTCCTCCATCTTCTGCATTCCAGGACTCCAAACTGGGAATGCAAACTCGACAGGTCCTCTTCTAATCAGGGACCATTCGTGGGATTCAAGTGAGTCAAGTTCTGGAAAATAGGATGACCATTCCTCTTCACCAATGAAGTCGGGCAGCTGTCGTCGGCACCACTCGCGGGCAAGCTTGGCTCTGTGGGCTGGAAGCGTCCTGCTGGAAGGACAACGAGGTGTTTCAGAAGACTTGGTCGGATCAGTGCTTCATTACTTCCATCAGTACGGTGTTTGAGTACTAGTCTTGGTCAATTTTCACGCCTGCGCCGAAGAAACCACGAGTGTCACCCTTGCCAGTGACTCCTTCAAAAAACATCATTTTGCTGTTCTTATAACAAACTTTTGTGATGGATTGGGCGCTAGATGTTTCTTTCCGGAACGCGAACGTTTTGGTTGTTGAGGGATGGTGTTATCGTAAAAATTTTTTGGCCAGAGAAAACGACGAAGGGATCATCATTTTCGACTTTCTGCATTTCTGGCCCGGCAGTATCTGCTGAGATCGGAATTGAAACGAAATTTCTGCATACGATAGGGACTGCAGTGGAGCTCCTGCATGACATTCTTCCATCGCGATAACTCCCGTAAGCCGTGCCCGTTGACTTCCTTTCGATGGGTCACCCAGAATCCCGACCGATTGGCAGACGGACCATTATAATAGTCCTATCTTCAGAAACATTCCACCTTTTTACCTTTCCTGATTTGTCTCTGATTCAAGCTCTTTTTCTGTGTCGCTTAATAGCCTCCTATACGGTTATTACAAAAATCCCAAGGAATTTTATAATGCCCTTCCACCTCTCGCGTGTCAATGATTGCAGGTGGCATTGAATGAGCCTCCATCTGAAAGATATTGGGAGTTCCACATCAGTAGCCATGCATATTGCAAGGAAACCTTCTTATGCAACTAATTAATAACAGGTTATGTGAATTCGATATATATTTCTACCTTAAAAATTCCTGAATTTTGGCGCTAATAATTTTGGGACACCCTGTACATACTTCAAGAAAGAGAAGCAAAAGTTATCAAAACACTTCGGAAGACGAATTCAAATCATCGAACCATCTTTTTTGCATTATGACCCCGTGAGAATACGGAATAAGAAGAAATCCGAGTGCTGTTATCCTAGTGCCTTTGGATGAACTAGAGACTTTTGAACAGATCTTTGCAGTGTGGACAACAGAAATATATTTAATGCCAATGATCTGTTACGTCCTCAAGCTCTATCGAACCTGAAGGTCCATAAACACTGCGAGCAGCGAGTTCATTTTGCGCCATGTGCTTTAGTTGTGCGTAAACGAATATGGCCTACCCAAAAAGTACGATCAGGGCAGAACAAAAATGAATCTCAAATGGCCTCTACACTTCACTGTAACATCATTCAAACAGCAAGAGCATGAAGTGCGGGCCTAAAGTATCACATAAAGCTGGCTCTACAGCACAGCGTTATCATGCAGTCACAACTGTTTATCCGCTCATAACCTCAAACGAGCGTCAAAATGTTGAACTCTCTCAGTAGCAATCAAATTATATGGTCTCTAATGTGTTTGGCTAAAAGATATTGAACTTTTCACTCATCAGTGATTCCTTTTACTCAACGCTTGTCCCATTGAGAAGAGTGTATTGATGTCAATTTTCCCTGCAGAATGCTCGGTTGGGATGAAAGCAAACCTAATTCAAGCCCACATGTAAGGCGTCAAGGAAGCCCTGCTTCCCTGGCCGTACTTGGAAAACTGTACCCTGTAGCTGTTTTCCAGGCACGGCGAGTTCGGGGTCGATCTTACAAGGGCTGTTTTTGTCCGAATGTAAGATAAGAGAGTAGCATTGAAAGCGAGTTTTGCAAATTTTACAGCAATAGGGGCTAAACGAAACGCTCAATTACTGCACTGTTGCGAATATGGCCGAAACGCGTGACACTAGCCGTCCAGTGCAGCATTTTTGTTTCCGTCATCCCGAGACGTGCTTTGAATTCTCTGGTCATTGGCCAGCACGCCACACCACAATCACAACTATCGTACGACTGCCCTGTTGACCTTTCATTTGAGGCTCTTTGTTATTTCCCGCTGCAGGGAACGCCAGTCACTGAGCGTCGTTGGGATCCGGCCTCCCACATACATAAAGTATATCAGGTGGAGAGGCCAGACTGCCATAGAAGTGATTGCCGAAACAAGCTCTTGGATACAGATGTGTGGAGAATCTCGGCAAATCATTTTCAACAGTGCTCAGCTCATTCGTCTCCGTGGTCACTTACTTGGTCTCTTTCACGGTCAGTCCACGTCCGAACATTGTCAGGCGGTAGGACGAAGCCTGCATCTGTTGTTCAAGTATACTCCTTTCTTAGAAAATGAGCATTAGGTAGCCTGCATAAAGTGTCCACGACGCTGAATTCTCAGGGTATCAATGACGACAACCAGTAGCACTGGTGCACACTGCACATGGTGTACCCCGACGGGAACAGGAAACTGTTAGAGGCAACTACTGCTGTTTGCACTCGATTCGTCGGATTTAATTATTGCATGAACACCCACTATTCAGTTCTTCAGGGACTGCGTGCTGTCGAAGAGCACACCGTATAGCTCCACGCCGCACGCTATTGGAAGCTTTCTCTGGGTTTGAAGAAGCGAGTTGCACGTTTCTCCTCTTGGCACTTTCTTTTTCAAGCAGAGGATGAGCGGCATATTTTGCATCGGTGGCGCTGCAAGAGAAAACAAAATCACACTCATCACTCAACGGTATTCAACTCTGCCCTCCGATTCGATTGATAGCTAGCACTGCCCTTTTATTTCCGACTCAAGCTGAAAATTATTACGCCGATTTCTTTTGTGAAACTTCTCAAGACAAACACAAACTCTGCATAAGATGCGGACATCACGGAAATTTAATCCCTCCCCCACAATAAAGGACACGGTTTATTATCAAGGATTGCAAATAACTATATAATTTTGGGTAGCTCTAATAACTTTCAATATCTGCACTTCAGCATCTCTGCCTTACCTGAAACATTTTATTCCTAGTATGTTTTTCAAGGTCATGTGTGTACTGATGCAACGTGAGCTCAGAAGCTTTACGAAAAGATCGGTCACATCGGTTGCATTTCATGGACTCCTGAAACTGAGGCATTTATGAAAAGATATACATTGACGATATAAAAAAACGCATTCTTTGCTAACTCGTTACTGATTTCATCCAATTTCACATCTCTCCAAAATCACGAGTGTAGGTTTAGAATTAATAGCCACCCAGGAACCAGAGTAGAAATGATGAAGATAATAATAAAACAGTCATGACACATGACCAGGGCGAAACAGAGCCAATGCAAATAGATGATTGCGGTGTCACTCGTCACGCCCATCAAGTGTAGTAAAGTTATGTGTCCTTGGTACTTGGTGGTTATACAAAATTCTTGAATATCTCGAATGTCTAAACCAATTACATCGTAAAACATGCTTCCTTATTCAGACATAAATTGTTATATCCATAATGACTTCACCTTCGCTTTCAGCTTATGCCATTTGGAAATGCCTACCACTTCAAGTTTCTACAGATTACGAGTTCAAGGTCACTTCTTGAAAAGATGTGTTGATGAATCGACTCAATGTTTTTCAGTTGTAGCTCAGCTCAAACTATTTTGAAAACAAGTAGTAGCGATAAACGGCACACGCAAAAGCAAGCTTGAATACCGCGATTGATGAGATAGAGATCGGACCGGGAACAGATCACCAAGTGGGGGTATTTCGCACATCAAGCCTGAGAAATACGCGTTTTTCACACTCATCCTCATTAATGGCACAAAAGAGCAAAGGAGACACTGTTGAAACAAATACCACCTCGAGAGAGGTTCAACACTGTGCGGAGGCGCCCCAGAGAATCCCTGTTAACTTCTTCAACTATTTCTGTGCCACAGCTATGATGTTGTCAAAATCCCGCTCTCACATGTCACCCAAACTATATCGAATTTGAAAGATGAGGAGGGCAATGGTGAGATTTGAAGCTCTCCTCCAGATAAAATAGTAATGGGAAACATATAACGATGCTCGCTCTGATACTCTTGAACCTGGAGAGAGGCGCGCGCTTTTAAAAAAGTTCTTGAAGACGTCGCGCGTGAGATTAATAGCGATGTTCCAAATGCGAAATCTCCACGGACCTTGTAGGCAACTCTTAACATGACACCGATTATTTAATTTCTGAACGAATTGTATCTGCATAATGTTGTCATCTGCGGATTCGTTCGCTCAATAAATCTCTGTCTAATGTACTCGGAGGTAAACACAACAACGAGAACTGACTTCATTTTTTCCGCCCATTTCATTCACGGATCTGTCTCATCCAACGGTACTTTATTTTCTGATTTTTGATTTGTAATACTTGACAAATGTTGCTAAACTTTCGATTCAGAGGAGTAATCCTACATCTGAGCCAAGCCGCTATTGGACTCCTGAAGGCACAGCTCACGATAAAAATGGTTCCTATGACTTTCTCCTGGAATTGACCACCCGCCCCTGAGGGCAACACAAAGGATGCTGTTGGGATGAGACAATAGATAGGACATAACGTGAGCCCCGTTACCGGACTCGTCGACGTCCACGCCCATCGATCGATGATGATGTGTCAGACCACACGAGCGATACGAACTGCGTTATTCGCACCAGGACTCACACGCTTAGCACGCAATCAGCATGATCGCCGGGTGGTGTGGTAATGTTCTACTCTTACTCTCTTATTATTCTGTTATTCTTTTTGATGCTGCAGTCCCTTATCTAGTTTTCCTCCTTGAGATGATGAGAAAGATGGGTTATTTTTTAACTTATGCTTACGGAAGAATGAATTTCAAAGGTCATTTCCGACACTGTGGTCAGCTATTCCGCACCAAGACGAGCACGTGTGCAGTGGCACTCATTGTATACAGTAGCGCTCAAAAGTCTTCGGTGAAATGGTTCCTCAGCCTTACTTTTCAGTCGTAACTCCTTTCCTATTGGATCTGATCATGCGAAATTTCTATATTTTGAGCGTGGGTGTATTGTGAATATTTACCACTATTAACCTGCAATCTGATCATGTTCCTGATATTCCAAAGAGCATGAACTCAAAATCGACTGAAAATACAGATGTTGGTCCTTCCAGCATCTCTTTCCTTGCTGTCATGTTTAAAGTGTACGAGCGGTAACGCCGAACACAGTAGATGAGAAAAACGCACATAGGATGCAAATAAGTGCAAACGTCAACAACTTTACTTTTAGCAAAATCTGCTTCCGCAACAAACTCCTTGCTCTACCTGTGGATATTGCAGCTTTGCAGTCAAATAGTGCTGGGTAGGGTGAAATATGCTCTAGCTGAACATATCCAAGTTTCGCGCGATTTGGTCCACTAAGAAAAAAGTTATGAAGAAAAAAAGCTTCAAAACATCTTGAGCGCTACTGTAGCTCGTCCGAACACCCCTTCTACGTCATTTTTCTGGTGCTATTCTTGATCACATTGGAAACATCTATTCGCGTTCTTTCTTCGCCTCCATCGCACTATCCTCTACCTTCTCTCGGGTGTGCGAATATACTTCCGATCGCACCTAATCAAGCTCGCCTCGCACCTAGGCGCAGAGTGACTTTAATCAGGTGCGAGGACGACGCTATAATTATGCTACCCGCACTCGCTACTGTTAAAACTTAAGCGTAAACTTCTCAACCAAAGAGGATAATGACAGCCAAAAAAGTTTTCATTTTAAAAATTGAAAAAAAAAATTCTGAAAGAACAAGTTCCAATATCAATCCCAAGGGTTTTGAGAGTTTCGATCCCGCGCGTAATCAATAAATTCAATATATTTGTGATTAAAGTTTCTGTGATATGGGAGACTGTAAGTGTGCAGGGAACGCGCAAAGCGATTGCTGTGCCACGGAATTTAACCGCACTGGAGAAGGCTGTACGGGTGCAGGAAACGAGTAGGGCGGAGGTTGTGATGAGGAATCCAGCTGCATTGGAGACGTGTAGACGCATAACTTCCGAAAAAAATTAGTGCTGGGGCTTCCGGAGCATAAGTAAAAAGCTCAGACAGTGGAGAAAAAGGGCCACACGGATTTCGCGCGCTTTCCTACATAGTTTGGAGCAGGAAGACACCCTATCAGTTCATCGAGGCAGTCTTCATTTGTGTCTCTGTCTTATAAAGCAAGTAGCGGTAGTTAAAGCACTCGCCGACCTGATTGAACAGACCTCGATGACCTCTTTCCAAAGTGCTGAATTTATTCTAAAGACTTACTAAATAACGGTAAAAACTGAAATGGCTTGAATGGTGAGCCGTAGGGCGTTCAATGACCTCTCAATGAAGAATAGTCCCAATATTAAACAACTCTAGTGAACTACATCGCTCCTGTAAGGTTGTTTGATATCGCAAATAAGCCGCACCTATTTTCCAGGAGCTTGAATATAAATATATTGAACTTATTTATTATGCATGGGAATGAAACTCTCCAAACCGTCGGAATTGATATTGGAATTTTTCTTTTCAAAAAACTCATTTTTCAAAGATACTCCATTTTTTCTCCCTAGTTGTCAATTTTCAACTCGACTAGTAGCGAGTGCGGGCAGCATAATTATAGCGAAGCCTTCGCAACTAATTAAGGCCACTTCGCGCCTGGGTGCGAAGTGATCAGGTGCGATCGAAAATATATTCTCGTACCCCCTTCTCTCTTATTTTTCGTCAGAATCTGGACAACCCAAAATTATCGTGGACTGTGCCTTCACTATGACTGCTTGAAGTCACTGGTCAGGTCCATCCACATAGAGCTTGCCTGTGAGTTTTTGTATTTTTTACTGTCTCCAACTCTTCGCAGGTATTGGGAAGAGAGGAACTTGAACCAGCCGATGCCCCTGAATTGAAACGCCGACCTCACAGCTCATGTAATACCTCGTATCTAATGAAAAACTCTTCAGAGGTTGAACGATATGGGCTGTGAAACCCGTTTCAAGTAGCATACTCACTAGATCTGTGCCACCAATCACTATTTTTTCGTGCATTTCGCTATGAAGAACGTCAGTCATCAATCAAAAGCGGATGGTAAGGGATCAGGTCAACCTCAGTGATTCCAGAAGTTCCGACTTCTATCTCGACGGTATTTTCTCATTGTATTCGCGCAAAGAAATAAGGAAGGTTGTAGTGCTTTTCTTGATTGATACTTTCTTAGAACTGAGTGATGAACGCATGAATTCACGCGTTAAAATACCATTTCTTTGAACGCATTATAGCTTGTTTTAAATGGACTTGTCATTAAGAACAAGATTATTACTTCTGCACACTGCTCACATTCAAATTTTGGCTCGAAAATGACAAAGTTATACAAAAGTCAATGAAGTACCTACGAGAAATTCAGTATTGCTACTGAGCTTGAACGACAGCAGTGAAACAGAGCAGAAACCCGGACCTGAAGATTTGTAGAGATACGTGAAAGTTGAGTTCTATTTGACCCCTATTTGGTTCGACTTTGTGACAAAACATCCCTTTCTGAGGTTTTGATTGAGTAGCATCAATTATAGCTACTTCTATCACATTTTACGAGTTTCCACAAAATCCACCAACTGAGTGATTCGGAGTGATATAAACTAATAGCGCACACGACGTCATTAGCACGTGCTCTATTACCTACGGAAGGACGGTGCTAGGTCGCAGTGAGGCCAACATCTGCGAACTGAGAAAACGCTCACTGCTTTTTCATGAAACGTGCCTCAAACCATTGCATATTGCTTTTGCGCTTCATATTCCTTGACTACAACTCTACGTCACATTTGAAGAAAACCGGAAATGGTTCTCCACGGTTTCTCGTTGCCCCCTTGACCTAATAGAGAAGAATTCAAGCTCCGCACACTCAAGATGGTGTTACGAAATTCTCGGGCAGCTCCATGCATTTTAGACAGCGCGGGATCGAGCGACTCATCTGACGGTAATGTTGCTCGAAAGAAATTTCGTCCTCACTTTTGACACCAGAAATGCGCTGACAACTATAGAAAAGCGCTGTCACACGTGAACTACCGCTTTTATAAAAAATACTATTGGAGCAATGGGTAATTTAACTGCACATTAGCTAATGCAACAAGGATTGAGGATTTTTTTTGAGGTAAACGAGTGGATGCGCTCGGACACGATAACACAGCTGGACTCATGCGACCTCTTCTGGCAATGGAACGGTCACAGGCTAGGCACCCATGCCCCTGCACCACCAAAGAGATGTAGGTACCTTTGATTTCAAAACTTCTTTATCTCTAAATGGTACGAGGTCCCCGTGCCGATGTGCTGGATCCATCGTCGCTGCTCTCACCGAATAACCATAGAGGATATTGTGATCCTCTTTCACAGACTCGTCAACGCCTGCAGTCGATGAAGAGTTTTCGTTCACAGCATCAAGGGGTATGGAAGAGCTTTTTATTACCCTGGTGTTACGGCACGGGAACCAAAACCCCCCAGTGGGTACGAACCAACTTCCTGCGAAACATATCGCTGGCCATATATTGATGAGCTCTTTGATCTAATGAATGGTGTAACATCTTGCTACCAGCCTTTTCTGGGACGGAGCTCCACCCTTATTCGGCCGCTAAACAAAAGAAAAACTACTTGAAATTCACTTTTGGAGTTCCTTATGAATGACATAATAGTAAACACATAGTATCAAATAGTATCACAGATTCGGCCTTTATTGTGAACTACTGCTTTCTTCTTCACTATACTCCCGGTTTTTCAATGACGTTGTCGTACTGATTAGTTGGTGGACTGTCGTGACTTGCGTACGACTCTAATAAAGGGTCGCGCCTGGTGGGGCGTGCGCGGGGTTCTGGCGCGCCGGCACGTGCGCAGCCAAAGGTATGACCCAGGTATCATCGGGCCTAAGAATGGATTCAGTTCCATTTGCTTCACTCGTCGTCCCGCGTCTGTTTTGCGTAGTCTCCAGTCGTCTCCCGTCATGATCGATCCGGTTGCCTCAGCCGTCTCGCTACCCCTTCGGCGTACCGGATGTGTTATTCACGCATAGTGTCGTCTTATTTACAAGGGAAGACTGAGTACCGCTTATTATCGTCACATTCCTATTCCGCGTAGCTACTATAACAAGGTCAACACCACTAGAGGAAAAGATCAGGGCATGGACGCCCGGAATGGAGTGAACCACGTACCCCTTCGTAAGTCTAAACTCAGGGTTCGACCTCCTTACTTGACGTAGTAGACGTAAGACGGCATGATTATTGTTGTGTATTTTGTATCATATTGTGTTCACCGTATTGACATGAGTTTATTGCTAACACGATTTATGTGTTTCTCCCACGTTTCTATCGGACTCAAAGAAATCAGGAGTTATCACGTATTCATTGGCTAATATCTCGGAGTGCTATGGTTTAACGATGTTGGTGGTACCGCCAAGAATGAAGTTCATCATGGTGATGGGAGAAGGGTTAATAAGTGTATCGCGCAGTTAACGCGTAGGAGTGGGCGTAGGAGATAATTACTGTCTGGGAATTTAGGGCCTAACATTTACCGCGTACACGCGTGGCGGGTGGAGCACGGCGAGCAGACAAGTCCCATAGGCGTAACAACTCCTTTTACCGCAACGTGGCTGGGTTCCCTCCTGTCAGAACCCCGATGCGAGAACGGACTTGCAAGGGTCCGGCAAACGGCGCGACAGTGGACCAATGTGTGTTGTGTTGCGAAGTTTGTACCATCTTGGTGGTTTTTGCTGTTCTATACGCTGCATGAGTCCGAGTTCAGGTTGTTGATTTTCTCTAGGAAATTCTGTTTCATCCTTCAGTTCCAGAGGGACAAGTATATTGATGAGACTCCTTAGAATGTTTCCGTTGAGCATATGCAGTTCTGCTTCTTTTATAGCTCATTCTTTTCCAGGCTTCGAAGCTGATATTCTTCCCATTTTTCAGGTAATGTGTGATACAGTATCGTCAGTGAGTAGCATTACCATGCCTCCTCTTGGTTCATGTTTCCTGCACGCTTCCCATTCATATATTTCTTAAGCGTTTCTCGCAAGCTACGGTGATGGATGTTATGTCATATGTACCAGAGATATTTCGTCGCTTTTGGCAAGGATGCAAAGCTTTCCCGTGCTTGCCTTCTGGCTGGAGATGGAATAGTTCCTCGGAGGGCACATAATATGAGTCCATCGGTTGATGCATTTTTTATTTGATGTTTTGATGCCATGATATTATATTATGGCCAACCTAGTGGAGCTTCATTTTGACTCTCTACGCCATATAATCCATCGAATCCCGTGCACCGTGCTCCTATCCATTACATTACCGAGACCCCACTTGCACTCGCCTTCTTCATGGCTTATATGCCAGAGCTGATCAGCACCCACACGTACAACGTGTTGAGCCTGTCGGTCAATTTCAGAACTGAACCGTTATGCTGAAAGCTTTACTTGATGCAACTTGTTTTGACTTGATGTTTTGATAAGCCATTAGCAAGGCGAGGACAGGTGGCGTTTCAGTAGTGTAATGAATAATAGCACGGTGCCTGGATAGCGCAACTACGGGTTCAAGTCTCGAGGCCGAAGTTTTGCCCATAACTCACCAACCTTGTGAGACTTTCTCATCGCGTACTGCGGCGAAAAACAGCAGTTAACAAAACTTCAAGTCAAAATGAAGCTTTTTGCAAAAAGCTGATACACATCCCATAAAAAATTAAATGAGCGCGTTAATCTAGGATTCGATTTTTCTTGTAATGATTAGGAGCCCACCCCTTTCAACTGCGTCGACGTTGCGCAGCACGACTTCACGGCTAGGCAGTAAGTACCACACAGTGCCCTACAAACGGATTATGAAGAGGGAGGCAGTTCCGCAAATTAGCTTCCACTACCTTTCGCGAATCTGGGACACAGATTCGAAATTTCCAAATATATTCGAGAACATTCCAGGTGTAATCCATCTCATCTTTGATGGCTAGTGCGACCTACTATCCCTACTGTGTGAGTGTGAAAACTGGCAACGTACTGAGCACGTTTCACAAAGATAGGTTCACCCAAGGTTTTGACGGTAACAACCATTTAAGATGATGGTACTATTGGATTCTTCGTGCTTGAAACCGAAGTTTATGGGTAAGTGGCGAACGCAAATTTAACTCAGACATTTGCTTAGTAACATCTTGGAATGTTTCAAGAATCTCTGTCGAAAGGCTAATTTTCGATTGCGCACAAACCAAAAAGGGAGATCACAACATGCATCCAATTACTTATAGCACCCTCAGAGATCTTGCTTGCATTAGTGGTTCCTCTTGTAATAAACAGATCATGGTCAATGGGGCCTAGTTTGAGCCGTTTCGAATATCTGTACATTTCTATTCAAAACCTTAAGAAAAAGCACACTGGTAACATTCGAGGCTGCACCAATCAATTACGAGTTTAGCAGTGTCAACCCTCACTATGTAAGTATATATCACTGCATTCACGAAACTGATAGTCTCCACAAGGTGAAAAATGGGAAGGGACGCTGCAGTAAGATACGAACCTGGAGGATCGATACAATGGTTCCGTTCGCTAAAAAGGGCGTCTTAGGAGATCACACAAAGTCATCATCTTTTCTCCTTTCAAATCTGGTGATCTTAGTTTATTTTTCCCTTTATTTTCCTAGGATGCAGGTGGGTAAATAAAAATAACTATGACAAGAATGACCTGGGCATAGAGAGCGCGTAAAAGGAGGAGTCCACAAACGCCTATACGTTGTTTTTCTTTTAGGAAAATATCTCAAGAACGAAAGAACAAGAGATAGACATAGAATTACGATAAGGTTGAAATCTTTCTCGAAATATAATAAATTTGTGGCTGCGATGAAAGGAAGCTCCCTTGTCTTTCTTTTCTCAAGAACAATGATTAATGCATATTCCAAGGAACTAATGGGCTAATGGAGGTACGCATCAAACTGGTCAGCCAGTCAAGCTGAGTTGTTTTTCGAATAGGTTTGTCTCTGTATGTCAAAGATTCATTGTTACTAGGGGAGTGTTGCCGAGCTTGCAACTGTGCAAGCAATGGCATATTAACGCCACCACCTGACCAAACATACACAGTTCGAACTGGAATGAAACTATAATAAACGAAATTCCAACAATATGGATGATGAGAACTATTAACGTGAAGCACCTCTCTGGAAGAATACGGGTATATTGCTGTAGTTGGTTGGTGAAGTGCATAGTTGGGTCGTTCCTGCAGGATGAAGAGAGGAGAGAAAGACGTCGTCAGAAAAACGGATGAAGCCGCAGGAGGTAGCGACATCGACGCGCACGACGCTGCAAAGAATCATTTTGCCTGATTTCAATGAAAGACATGACGCCATCTAAGCCACTTTCCTAAGCACAGACCTGCGCTGCGACTCATATGAAACAAATGAGTGGTGAAAAGGTTCCCGCTACAAATTTGTTAAGTGCTATCCGTATGAGTGCTACCGATTTTTATCCCAAAATTCCATCGGATACGCCGTCGTTTGAGTTACTCTATCGTGGATCAGGACAAATCAGTGAATTAGTAATGATGTTCGTCTGTGTGAAGTATTCAATCCACATATCATGTGTATGACGTCGATTTAAGGCGTTAGCGCTATAAAAAATTTTCCTCCTGAACTATTGTGAAACCCTAGATCAAGAGTGGCTTACTGCTCAAACAGCACTACAGACATAGAATTGTTTCACTGCCAAGGCCATATTTACTCCATATTTTCTTTGGCAAAATTTGAATTTGCCATTAACTTAATCAAAAACCAGTCTGCCGAGTACTGAAGTACGGCAATTCACTTCTATCCAGCTATAATTTGTATCTCACAGTTTCAGTAAAGTACTGTTGCAAAGAAAGAGTGTACTTTCAATAAAGACTCAAAACCTGAACGCTTGAAAGTTACCCTCTGCTCTTATGCAAAAAAAAAAATTCCGTCTGCCATGATCGTAACTTGTGACTTGAGAGAAGAATTCTTCCAAACTTCATTAATCCCATTTACGACATGTCTAATTTCCGGACGAGTCTGGTATCAATCGACTAAACTTGAGGGATTAGGCTTTGTTGGCTTCGACGTTTATCGGTCAGGTTCGGAATGTATGAGATAGTGCAACACGTGGCACTGCACCCCTTTCACTCATGAGCTATCGTTACTATGTACAGAGTTGGCAAGAAAGTTCTGCGACAAAAAATTCGAAGCATTAAAAATTTGCACAAACAATGTGAACACGGTAGTAAGGGTGATAAACTTTTAGGATATTACCCTGGCAATCAAAACATGAGTAAACAGAGGCACGCATATAGATCTCCGCAGCTAATGAATGGACAACATTCGATTGGTACCATCACATTTTACTTGGCATTCCAAGGGACAACGCGGGTGTAGCGGTCTAAATTACCAGCCACCTACTGGATGCCACCACTGATCACCGATCGACGGTCAGCTACCGGTTGGACCGCTTCACTACAAGAGATATGTACTAGCCTCCGAAGAAACGCAAGCATCTTCCCCAATTTTTTAGAGGTCGAAGTTTCCATTTTCCACTCTACCACCCTAGGCGCAGACTAAATAGTCAGAGCTGTCCCTTACCCTATTAACCTCACCATTCGGCCACTACGTTAAGAGAATGACGTCAAAATCAGATTTTTTGCTACTACAGAAGGACAGTGCACGTCGGAATTCTGCCTAAGACACCTGTCAAAATTTCACCGGGCTCGCTTCGCTCCAGACTGTTCACCAGTCGCACACCCAAAACGTTGTCCCATTTTATGACCACGTAACCAGCCTTCTCAAGCGCCTCTTTAGGGGAAAAGTTCGTAACTAACGTGATCTGGAAACGGCAGTCAATCAATTCTTTGAGTCACAGCTTTTTGAGTTTTAGACAAAAGGCATCAGTGTTTTGCTCAAAGGATGAGAGAAGGTTGTTGATCTCTATCGTGAATTTCCAAAATTTGATTGGCCTTAGAATTTTGAGGAATGAAAACGAAATGGCTTACATTTTGGCGCAGGACTTTCTTGCCAACCTAAAGCGCTCTGTCTGTCTGTTCGCACGGAAATTCGATATTACCTGAGGAAGCACATGCACAAGTCGAGTCAATTTGGTATGGGTTAGGAATGGTGCAAGAATAGCTGCGCACATGTGAGCTCAGTGGAGCTTCGCCCGCAGAGGGCGGGACATGCACAGTAGTGGACGGCGTCTTGGGCAAAACATCTCAGCTAGGTTCCATAACAGCCCCGACGCTGGGAAAATGAGCAAAGGTTAGGGCTAGAACAACAATGCAAATGAAGGAGACTCACTAGCGGTGGGCTGGGCGTTCTCGCATTGGGCAGTGCTTTCCTTATAAGCTCATAAATCGATGCAACGATGAGGCCGGAAAAAATATATGCAGGAAGCAAGGCCTTCTGCGTTCTGGATATGCATTAACTTGGTGAAGGTCCACCCACAGTAAGCGGAGCGTGCGTTTAGAAGCTACTTCCCAAAAACATGTATAATTCTGTTCGAAAACGTTTCATAAAGCAGAGAAAGTATTAAGAGATAATGGAAGAAGGGTGGTCAAATCTTTAAAAGGGGCGGCGCTTGCGCTAAGGTGGACGGGTATAGAATGCGGAGAAAAAGTGACTAGAGTTATTAGAAGAAAAGCAATCAAATCCTTGAAGTGGGTGGGGTTTGCATTGAGGTAGGCGAGGCTGAAATTAGGAATTCATATCCAATTTCAGAAACTTCCAGAATGCGGGAAAAGTGGTCAGAGTTAGTAGAAGAAAAGTGGTCTATTTCCCGCGGTGGACGGGGTTTGCACTGGAGTGGACGAAACTAAGATTTGAGATTCATTACCCTGTTCAAAAACCTTATAGAATGGGTAGAGAATGGGCAAGGCAGCTTAAAAGGATGATCAAATTTTCATAGTGGGAGAGGCTTGCGCTGAGGTTTACTGACTATGATCAGCCACCGATAATTCTGCTCAAGTGAAATATATCAAGCGGATGCCATTAAAGCGATCCCAGCCTTCGAATCTAGAGAGAACTATCTTATTCATGAACATATAATGCATGCGTTAGCATGCATAACCCAGCTGGTGAATAGATGATTACTACGTATGAAAACAGTGATGTGAGTGAGAGTGATGCAACATCACAAAAATACTGATTGCTCCGATGACTACGAGTGAAATCAAAATCAAGCATTCGGAGATCAAGTACCACAGCGACGAAGAGGACTTCGAATAGGGACAGAAGAAGTTGCCAGCCACAGCCGATTTTCCTACGATTTGAGAGAACATTACGCCCAACATCAAGGACAATCCAATGATGTTGCTGAGCTCGAATCCTACATTACTACTGACTGTTCCTTGTTGACAAGGTTTAAGTTCATGCGTTGAATTATGACTGCCGCAAGAAGATGACGCGAAAGGAAATTAGTGATTCGCGCAGGCATGGCTGTACACTAACAAAAGTTGTGAAGGAATTGAAGGCTACGGTTCAAGATCTCCTCGCAGTCATCTGATATATCAGTTCACCTAACTCTGATTCTCTGCTCGACAAACGCCTCGGTATGGTTGGATTGATAACAAAAAGCGACCATGAGAAAAGAGCAAGAAACCTCACTGAGATGGAAAGAGCTCGAGCAGTGGTAAGCAATGATTGCAGCGAAACAGGGCACTTCTGCAATGAAGGGATGGATGAAAAATCTACCCTTTTCACTTAGCACAATAGAGCTCGCATAGGAAAAACCATGTCGCAGTTCGCATTGGATTACAAGAAAATGAAAGAATTGGCGAGTTAAGTGAACGGATTGCTCCAATTCAGACCTCGGTCCAAGGCAGAAAAAGTGAAGTGATTGAGTGGGAGCGATAAATTTAAAACTGTTGAACAGTGCGTACCAAAGGAATGTGGACAACTCGAGTTCCATTTTCGGCGGCTTTCTGAAGAACCCTTTTCTTGCCATGCGCTCCCTTTGTTCTGTTCCATGTAGGCGAGCAAAAAAGTGCTGTGGTCCATGTCTGCCGCTCAAGTGAGTTGAACGGCAGACACACATCAAGGCATTGCTTTGCTCGCTAACAAGGAATAGAACAAAGAGAATTAATTAACTACAGCATTGTTTTGCTGCCCACAATCAGAAATATCTAACGGTTTCGGAACAGAGGTATGGCCTGTATGTTCCACCGACCGCAACCTTATAAAATTTATGGAAATGGGGTGGTAGCTGGGAATACTCATCAAATTTTGAACAATTAAAACACAGTCCAAGTCCCTGGTAATGATTTTCACTCGCTAGACGGACAGTAAAAAAAAGTTAGTGTAAGAATCGATAAGAAAAGATGAATTGGGACTTTTCGAGACCGTCAACTAAGAAGTACCTACGTCGATAACAAGGAGGTAGCAGGTGAGGGAGGATCTTTCTGCCGCTTTGGTACCCTAACAAAATACATGCTTCGAATCTGAACTCTTGAATTTCGATTTGATACAAAGCTCTCACGGATGAGCAAACATGAGCTTATTTCTGTCAAGCGCCGCATACCCCCGTACGTTACCATATCTGACTATTAAAGTAGTTATGTAGCAACATACACAAAAAGGGGTTCTGAATCAGCTTTCCTTGATGGAATAGCCTTCATCAATAAGTGAGTACCACATAACTTTCAAAGTGGAAGCAAGTGAGGGGCTCGAGGATTTATATACCACATTTATGCAGCATACGCAGCAGTACTGCGTGATGATTACCAGTGTTCTTCAAAGAATATGGTGTATCTCCAGCTTCCTTTTATATCAGACAAAAGTAGCGCAGAAATCCGACAATGCATAGCACGAGCGGATTTGCACAACGATGTTGTTGATAATCCTATCAGGAGACAATATCAAACATCAAGTAATCCGCAGTAGACTTTAAGACGTGTGCGGATTAGTGCATCATTTGACCCCTTGGAAAAGACGGAGATTGTGCACAGCGAGGGACAGGTTATCAACTTCGGTGTTCAACCTGTAACTGAATACTATATTGCTGAGACGTGAAGGATGTTTGGCGTACGCGTTAAAGAATACCTAGCAGGAAAAAGGCGAGAACGTCTACTAACACCACTTGGGAGGCAGCGTAGAAGAACAACAGGATGATTCTGATTCAAAATGCAAAAACTTACGAAAAGCCTACGAAAATGAGATCAGTGCTAGAAATATCTTGGAAGCTTAGGAGGTCTCTCTGAAGCCACGTCCACGATGATACAATGTTTCATTTGGCTAGCGTTTCGGCCAGTCGCCTTCGTCAGAGCCTGGAAGCCAAAAAATATTTGAGACTCATCCTGACCAAACAATGTTCAGACCTCAGCTTAGTTCAAGTGCGGCCTATAGATATCTAGGAAAGTATTTCAGATTACAACAGGTGACCCACCGTAGATGTAAAAAAAAGACCGTTAACCCTTTTCTCTTGAACTGCGTATTTAAGCTACTCGCAGTGGGCGGGCCTGAGTGTCCTGACCCTGCCCTGACGCCGGTGGCAACTGAAAACCACATTGGTCGAGGAACGGGGCAAGCTCGTTGGTTACAGCCAGATAATCATCTTTCCGATTCATTTTTGGATTTTTAGCGCTGATCCAAAAAGCATAAACAGTCTTTCGAGAATGCAGAAATCGCAGCTACGCATACTGAGGACTGCATTGTGAAGCAAGAGGAATCAATTATTGTCATTGTTAAACATGTGCCTGTCCAAAGCATTGTGTTGTGAACGATATTTGCCAGTCTGCCCAAACGAAGACCTCAGAATAAGTTCAGTAGGCCCGTAGAACAAGAAGGGTATCGTTATCCACAATGCCAGGTTTCCACCTGTAACAGTGTAGACCACCCTCAAACTAATAGCAGCGGAGAATCCGAGTCTATACCTGATAGAGTTACAGTTATTGGCGGCATCAATCATACCGAAGACGCGTTATCGGTTCTAGACCTAGGTCCCAGTTTCGCTCAGGCGCAATCGATAGGTCGTGAAGTACCGCGGAGAGTCTTGTGCGATCTTCAGGCTTTACAAGACAACCTACGTCGCATGGCCAAGCTACGGGAAAATCCTCGTGAACACCCAGCAGGATCAAATTTTCCTGCGATCCCCTTTCCTCACTATACTTCCGGCCAAAGGACCCCAATAACGCCGTGGATGTAAATTTTCGCCTTTTTGCTACATCTGTTTGCGAAATCCTGAGGCGAAACATTCACCGGCGGCCCACTTCCAATCTCATTGCATCGCAAAAACGGGGGTTAAACGAACTAATCGATCTCGTAAATTCCAGCACCATCAAAATATCAGTCAGCGACAAGGGGGGCGAGTTCGTGTTTATGCCACGAAATTTGGATATTGCCATAACCGAATCCCATCTACAGGATGTGTCCGTTTCCCGGCCATAATCAGAGAACGAATATAAAAGGCAATGCCACTGTCTGAACAAGGTTTGGTCGGACATTTCACGCGCTGCAGATATGCCTAAAACAGTAAGCACACGTCTAAGGTGTGATCTCCCAGTCTGCCCAGTACTCTATGTCTTGGGTAAAACCCATAAAATTTCACCAGACACCCTGTCCTCCCCTTGGACTTCCATGTTCGCCCCATAATAAGCAGTGTAGGCGGTCCCACAGACAGAATTTCCTGGCTGTTCAACCTCGTGTTGGCCCATTTGCTAACTATCATCCCTGCCCATCTCAGCAACATCACGATGTTCCTTGACCAACTGCGAGAGACTCGATTTAGAAGGAACCACGTCATAGAATCATTTGACGTGACCCCCCTTTACACTAATGTATCAAACTGGGACGCTATGCAGGCTACCCACGAACTTTTGAATGCACATGCGGGGTCAATAAATATGTATGGGCTTTCGGTCTCCCAAGTCATGACGTTGGTCAAGGAGTGCCTGGACTGCTCTATATTCAGGTGGTCAGGGCGATACTTCAAGCAGATCAGGGGTTTAGCTATGGGTCAAGGGCTAGCACCCGTGCTGGCCATTGCTTCCATGTCAAAAATTGAAAACCCCGTTTTGGATCGCTGGCCTGCCCTCTACCGTCGCTACGTCGTCGATTGCTTCGTCGCCTGCTCAACCCAGAAAGAAATGGACACGTGCTTCGAATGGCTGAACAGCCAGGCTGACGACATACGGTTTACACGAGAGAAGCCAAAGGACAAGTGGTTGCCGTTTCTCAACATGCAGATCCAGCTTGAGCGAGGGTTCCTGCGGATAAAATGATACAGGAAGCCCACCAACAAGAATATTTCAGTCCACTTCTGGTCTGCGCATCCACGCAAAATCAAGCGGGCTCTCACGGCGAATATGGTCAGAACTGCGAAAATGGTCTCACCGGGGAGTCAGGAGCAAGTAGAATCCGTGGAACTAGCTAAAAAGGTGGCTCTCTCCAATGTGTATCCCCTGAGGGACCAGCACTATGGCAGACCACCCCAACGAAAACCACACGAGCCAAGAACTGAGAATTCGGAGAAGGTGCCTTTTTGCCTTCCTTTCGTTTCGGACTCCGTCAGTCCAGACGTGAGAATGGCCTTGTGAAAGTGTGGGCCCGATGATACGGTCCGGGTGGTTGAAGTCCCCCTAGAAATCTAAGACAGAGGCTGGTACAAAACCGTCTATATAATCGTTCCTGCACGACCCCCCCCCNCCCCCCCCCATTGTGTCATCTCTCCCAACGGGCGAGGGGGTGACTGTCTGACGTCAGGTGTGATCTACTTGATCATATGTAACCTCTGTGGAGATGAGTACATAGGCGAGACCGGAAGACCTCTAATATGCAGGGTTAAGGAACATCTGGATGGCCTGGAGAAATCAAGGCCTGAAACCCCCCGGGAGACCATAGGAGGCACCATCACGAGGATGCAGTTTGGAGTATCGATCAAGGTCTTGATGCGGGAACCCACGACCTCAGCATGAAGGACTCTCGAAGCTTTTTGGATCAGCGCTAAAAATCCAAAAGTGAATCGGAAAGATGAATGTCTGCAATTAACGAGCTTGCCCGTTCTTCGACCTGTGTGGTTATCAATTGCCACCGGCGTCAAAGGCAGGGGTCAGGGCACTCGGGCCCGCCCGCTGCGAGTAGCTTAAATATGCAATCAAAGAAGGAGAGTCAACGGTCTTCTTTTTACATCTAAGGTGGGTTACCCATTGTGATTTGCAATACTTTCCGAGATATCTATAGGCAACACTTGAACTAAGCTGTCTGAACGTCGTTTGGTCAAGATGAGTCTCAAATATTTTTTGGATTCCAGGCTCTTAAGAAGGCGACTGCCTAAGCGCTAGCCGAATAAAACATTGTATCAACTTGGTCGTGGCTTCAGAGAGACCTCCTAAGTTACTTCTATGTATACTATGCCAAGATTAAACGATAGTCGAATATGATTGCTATCTTGGAAGCATTACATATATGCGCGAAAAATCCAAGGCTGAACAACCGAAACGAGTGTTTGGTCACAACAAGTAAACTCTTGCCATCTGTTCCCCCTTTTTTTCTCCCTTTTGAGTTGACCATAACAGCAGAGCACAACTTTTAAATTGTCCCATCTGTGAAATGGCGTCTCAATGGTCCCTTGTTGTTCACATAGAGTGAAGCGTAACGTTGGTGGAACCGCAGAGGGTTAGCCATTTTGTTGGAAATTTTGCGAAGTTCGAGTTTCCGCATGTTGTTGCAACTAGTCTGACGCGTTGAGCGCTTGTTCGGGTAAGTCACAGATCAGTAACTTCTAACTATTTTCAGGTCCTGAAGACGACGATCTAGTCGAAACGTTGGCTAATAAAGCGGGTCGGCCATAACAAGCCTTTACGGCAGAACAGTATAGAACATAATGGAGATATTGGCAGCCTGATGATCAAGTGATCAAAACTTTCTCCACGCTCGATTCTCCCAAACCCAAACAAAAAATTACCGCCAATTTCTGCTAGCAACTTCAAGGAAAGCACATTGAAGCACTGACAATAAATAGCGTACTTGTGGAACGGTAATCGTCCCGCGTTACTGCTGCTCGACAGGGAACACACACTTGGTTCACATGCTGTTATGCAAAAGCTGAACGAGCTGTAGATTGGACTCCATACATATTCCTTTTAACAGGGTTTGAGCTACAAATTTCCATTGTTCAAACGATAATAGTAAGGGTAGCAATGAATACATAATAAAGTCAGAAATCACTTCACCCAAGCTTGCAGGTGCTAAATCGGCTATACTCACCAAGGAGGGTTAGTCTACTCACCGTGGGATTTTGAATGGAGACCCAGAAGAATCGATCGAATTTGAATGCTGTTTAGGAAAATGGAAATTAAAACTGCAAAATGTTTTGCCTTAAAAAGTTATGGGGGCTGGAGCTTTGCTTGACAGTGGCACGATTTGGGTATGCGAACTCGTGGCTTTCACTCTCAACCCTACCCAGGGAATGTGGTTCTGCACGTTAACTGTACGACTCTGTTTTATTTTGAACTTTAAGAAACATGCAACGGAAATATATTATACATCCTACTTACATAATCGGCTAAGTGTGTGGTGTGTGTGTGGTGTGTGTGTGGTGTGTATGTGTGGTGTGT